GAGCAAACTGGATGCTTATCTTGCTGGGATCCTATGACCCTAGCTGGGATCCTATGACCCCAGCTGACTTCCTGCCCTTTGGGCAGGGGGCTGGACTCGATGATCTTCCGAGGTCCCTTCCAGCCCTAATGTCTATGAAAACGAAACGTTTTTCTTAACGTTTTTCTTAACTTCCTCTCCTTTTGTAGTGTGTGCAACTCAGCAATATGAATGTCTTTTATCCCCCTCCACCTTCCAGTGGTTGCCAATTTATAAATTAGTTGAATTTATGAATTAGTTGAATTTAGGTTCTAAACGCTGAGCTAAGTTTTACAATCTTTACTCATGTGCATGAACATTTGCTCATGCTAAGCAAGTTGGATGACTCATGGAAGTGCACAACACTATCAGTGAGACTCGTTTGCAGTTTAATCTGTTGTCTCTTTTTTTGCTTGCTAACATGGCCTCCAGGGCTAGGCATGGACACTCAAAGAGCCTGAGGCAAAATCGATCTAAGTTATGCTGTTTTCAGTAAGCAGCTTATTTTAGATCGATAGCAAACAGAACACATTTGCCCGGGGCAGGAAGCGGGAGGGGGGTAAATCTTGGATCGGATTCCGCCATTTTTAAACCAGTTTGTGTGTGCTGAACTTCTGTTCTGTTACAGATATACACCAGTTTCCAATCACTTACACTGGTAAAAGTGTTACGTCTGTACCTGGCCTAGTTGTTTAGAAATACAGCTCCTTTTCTCAAATGTTCTGTATCATTACTCCCTGAGAATTATCTTGCGTCTTCTCCATACAAATCTGCCAATCACATATCTAATTAAAGTTCCTTGTAAAAACATAGTCTAGTAATGTTGCTTGTAATGTCAGTTGTCCTGCACAGTCTGCCTCGCTCAACAGAATGCTACTGTTCTCAAGTGCCAGGAGAGATTTCTCCCTGTAAAATGATAAGTAAATGACACCCTGTTGTCTTTGCACACAACCCTGTGACTATCTTTATGTCACCCAATTGCATTAATTCAGTGCTTGCACATTATGAAGGTCCTGGATGGGCTAAACAGTAAGCACCAAGGCTAAAAACAGATTTAATCTGGGCCAAATTGCCCTGGGTTTTGATTTGCATCAAAACGGGGTAATCATTTACATGCTCAGCCTGAATGGTAATTACCTTGAATTAGCCTTGATTGTCCCAGGTCAACGTGTTAATTTGAATACTTCACAGGTACTTAACGTGGGACGGTGCACGTGTTCATCTGTAGGATCCCAGGCTACAATTCTTGGTCTGGAGGTACACTACTCACCTGTTTTTAGGAACTCATCATTTAGAGAGTGCTGTGTGCCCAACTCGCCCTTGCTCCCTGGAATAGTCCCGTACTTGTATGAGTAGCGCCAGCAATTTCAGTGAGTAAATACGGAGAGGATTAGGCTGTTTCTCTATGCTGTTTTCTTTTTGGAAGGACAACTACAGCACAGATGGACCATCTTCACATTCGTTCCACTGCATCTCATGGATGGTAAGGTGGCACAGGTAGCCTGTCAGAGCTCTGCGGCTTGTGTCACCAATAACAGCTCTTTTTTTCCAGCAATGAAGAAGAGAGAACAGAGATGGCAAGGACAATAATTGATTCTGATTGAAGTGAAATTAAAACATAGTACCTCGATGGCAGTGCTGATTTATGACATGATAGATGAACTATAGGTTTTAATAATGTATTCTAAGGCAGACAATGACAGGATAAATATACCAGCTTAGATCATCCAGAGAGACACAGGGAGACTCTGTATATAGGCACGTGTGCCACAGCAAAGGTTATGTGAATTTCCTCCTCTAGCCGCCTTTGGAAAGAAGAACTGTACAACTGCTTTTGGCCTGTGTGAATCAACTATCTTGTTAATTTATCTCTAGCTATGAGCCTAAGTTAAAATATAGAGCTATTTGCTGCATACAGTATACCAGCCACCATGAGGGGAGAGACTCAAAGAGTAGCAATAGAAATGTCTTCACAAGTCCAGAAGGAATAGAAGTTCTTGATCCTCTTCAATGAACTCTGTGAAGCGGGACTACTGTGCTTTTCAAAAATATATTTTTAGGTAGTAAAAGACAGGATTTATCACCCCAGTCATGAGAAGCTTCTGTGCTCTACTCAGAGAGAAAAAAAAAAGATTAAAAGGTAACTTAACACTTTGCCTTTTCCTTCGTTCTTTATGCCACTAGTTTGTTTAGAAAATAATTTGCTTAATCATGCACAAGATGCAAGGACCTGTACAGAAGATTTTCACTAGGCATGTGCCAAATAGATCAATTATAATATGAATACTGTAAATTTACCCTGCTAACAAGGTTATTTTTCATTAGATACTGATTCCACAGGGTTGACATAGACTACACAGGACAGCTTTGGCCTTATGTTGCAGTAGTAGTAGTAATAATTCTAATAATAATACATTTAGTATCTTTAAAGCACTATTTAAATGTTGCACTCAGTCTATAATCACATGCAGATCCTGAAATAAATGAGTAGCTTGGTTCTATCTCTAGGTAATACATTTAAGAGTATTCATAGAAACTAAAGAGTAGGGATAATGAGTCATGATGGGTGTAATAAGTAAAAAATAAGAAACAAGACAACACGCAGGGAAGACAGACAAGAAGTTGATGACTGGTTGAATTATTTCTGGAGTTATCATTCATAAACTTGCAATTAATAACATACTTTATTCACCTGTATCTGTAAAGTCAACAGCAGATGCAGATCTATGTAGATGAAACAGGATTTTAAATCACACAATTGGCAGTGGTAAATATGAGGAAGAATCAGGTTTAAAACTGCTTGCTAATTCTTTAATCAGTTTCCTGTCCACAGCCACTGGGTTAGGAGAACCAGGAAACACAGACAAAAATACCGTTGATCTGGAACTGATAAAATAGGAGGAGAGGAAGGATGGATCTAGGGAAGAGGAAAGGAATGAGGATCAGGAAAAATGGGTTACAAGAACTTGATCTACCTCAAGAAGCAGGCGGGGCCATAATTTATTTTGCCCCTAGCATTTAGGGAAAGCATTATTAGTTGTTTATCACTGAAGACAGATTCCATGTGTTCTACCCCGGGCGGGAAGGGGGGAAATACAGCACATGGCATCTGTTGTGCTATTTTAGTAGGATTTTATGCATCTGCTGGAATTGCCATCTTTGTCATCGGGCCCCATGGAATCCAAGAGTGTGAATAGCAGGTGGCTAGCCTTCTGGGATGGTGTGGTGGAATATGCACTACAAGCACCCAATTGGCCTATATTTGTGGCTTGAAGGAACTGTGCAGATTGATGCCATTGATGGAGGCTAATCTACTGCGCAGTAAAGTGTGTCTGTCTACTCGTGCGTGGCATTTTCTGCGCAGTAAATCAGTCTACTGCACGGTTGGCTAGTACCTGTAGATACAGGTAGTAGATTAACCTCACAGTAGCTACTGCACAGAAGTACACATGTAGGCAGCTGACAGGGAGCAATTTGCTCCCAGTCATCCCAGGTAGCAAGGGGCAGGGGACCTGCCTCCCAGCCCCGCACCCCAATTGCAGTTTCTCAGCCCCCACCCACACCAGTTGGGACGTGAAGCTGGGAGCCAGCTGCCCAGGGCAGGGGACAGTTTTCCAGCCCTCGCCTGTAATGATTGGGGCTGGGAGACAGCTGCCCAGGGCAGGGGACAGTTTCCTAGTCCTCACCCATGCCTATTGGGGTGCTGAGCTGGGAAGCAGCTGCCTGGGGCAGGGGACAGTTTCCCAGCCCCTGCCCAGTGCTGATTGGGGCACAGGGCTGGGAGGCAGCTGCCCCAGAGGTGGGATAGCTGCCCCCACCCCCATGGAGCCCAGGCCTGACCCTGGAGCCCCTTGGCAGTCCAGGGCTGGCATGCAGACAAGTCTAGAGCTCCCCGTAGCTGCTATAGGGGGACAGAGCAGGGCAGGAGTTGCCCTGCACTGCACAGCTCCCATTGGGAGCAAATTAGTTCTGACGGGTGCACGTGTAGACACACTCCTGGGGAAGACTTACTGCACTTCATTTTACTGTGCAGTTAGCCTAACATGTAGATGTGCCCTGTGGCCAGCATTGGGCTAGCACTGGTATTTCCTTTCAAAATAATAACATTAGTTTATACAAGACACGTGTCTAAGCATTAAGCTGGCAGCCTAAATCCATTAGTACAATAGTGTTATCCCATGGTATCTAAATGGTGCAGTTGGGAGACGTCCCATTATTGATGCATTATTCCTTTCTCTCTGTTCCTGTTTATTTTTATTTTTCCGCCTTCTGATTGGTAATTGTTGAAGATATCCATGAACAAATAACCCTTTTCCCTCATGTCCTTCCTGCTCATATATTACAATGAAGCCCAAGTGCAATAACAAGCAGTTGTAGAAGTTACCGAGATATAAACAAAAGACCCTGCTTTTGTTATCTGTGCATGCAAAAGGAAACGGGGGGGCGGTGGACGACAGGTTTTCAGATCTGTTATTAACTTGCAGTTGGAAAGGCTTCTAGTAGTAACAGCAGTAGAAAGGTATATATTTACCTTTAAATGTCTTATTTAATTTTGTGTGCTTGTATAAGTTCACTTTTATGGCATGCAATTCCTTTCAAGGATTTCCAGAATTCCCTCTTCAAAGGACTCTTGGAGAGCAACGTGACTATGCCAACTTAGCAGGGAAAATTACAAATGACTAATTTAAGTGCTTCTTAGAATCATTTTCCTTTTGTTTTGTATAATTTTCACACTTATAAAATCAAACTTTCAGTTAAATGTTTATATAGTAATTCAGTCGGCTTAAGCCATCTGCTGGTATGGCATCTGCAGAGTTGTTTTGATGCACGCTTAGTATTGTTTCCTTCACAAGACTTGTAGGCTTGTATTTTGGTTGCAAAAGGATCATTTTTTCCAGCACAAAGGAAGTGCTGTTTATATCCAGGAATCTAATTGTCAGCTTTATTTCCAGATTCTACTTCAAATCAACTTTTTATGCCTCCAAAAACCTTATTCTGATTGACATTTACTTTTCAAGATGTGTGCTCAATCTTCTCCTGCTCTTTTATTATACTCTCCTTTGTATCGGTATTCAGAAAAAAAATCCTCATCACTTGAGAAGTGCATAGGTAGGTTTGAAGCATTAGTATTCATACTTGCATGTTAACAACCGTTATAACACGTACCAGAGGGAAAATATTATTTCTCGTAAATGCTCAATAATTATAGTCTTTATTGCATCAAAACCTGTGTTTTGACAGATAGTGGAAAGCTTTCAAAGCTTGTGTGGGATGGATGACAGATAGCTGCAGGTGGAAAATATTTTTTTAGGTATCAGGTTTTCTATTACTGCTACTGTAAATATTCTTCCAAAATAACATTAACCTTCCAAGCAAGTTTGGTAGTGTACAATGATAATATGTGTATTAGAAAAATATACCTATGAAATATTTTTAAAGATTGCATCTAATTAATCTAAGGTTGGGGCAGTTACGTCTCTTTTCATTAAGCTGCAAAGTATGAAAGACTAGAAAATTGCTGCTGTGCTCTATTTAGTACTTAAGGTATAATTTGAATGGATGTGCTAAATTCTTGGTCATAACTTGTGGTAATATCTAGTCAAAGAAAAATTAAAAGAAAGCTTTTGCACTATTGCAGTTTACAAGACTTGAATACATTTAACCAATTTTGTACCATGAGCTTGCACGAAAAGGTAAGTAAGTGAATTTTGTGCCACATGACCCTACAGGTAGCAGCACCTACAGTGTTTCTCAGTTGTAAAAAAAGTTGACAACTTAAAATATGGGGTAATATGGGGTGCATTTTTTTCAAGTGTGTTCTATCATTTGTAGGTGGAATTTACACCTATGAAATTTATACTTGTAATTGCAGGTGCCAGCCATGCCTCAGTTACAAAGTAGGTCATAAGAGATGAAGGTTTTCTCTACAAGTTCTTTAAGGTGCAAAAATGTAGGTGACCATTTTGATATTGCTAACTGCACCTAAGAGCCTTTCATCATTTCTGAAAATCCCACATGTATTGTTTGCCTGGAAAGTCTAATGCATGAGTTTGGAAAGTTAAATAGACACAAGAGTGGCATTGCTTACCTCTTTGTATTAACGTTTTGTTGCTTAGGTCAGTGATGCACAACTCACACTTTATGGAGGGCCACTTGCAAGGTTTGTTTCCCAGTGGCGAGCCACGGCTTGTGGAATCTGCTCTTTTTGGCTATAAGCCCACAATACAATTGCAAGCAAAAAACTGGGCTGCACATGCAAGCACATGGGCAGATGAAGGAATTCCTACACACAGAGAACATAGGACTTACATTTTTGCATTTCAAATTCTTTTTCGTTTAATAGTTTCATGAAGAATTATGGTCGGCGCCATATTGTGTATCAGGCACTTCAGATTTCAAGAGGATGACGATCTCAAGGATGATCGCTCCATAAACTTCTTGGGTTTTAGAGGACCAGTGTGTCTGAGTGTAATCTAGTTGTGTGTATTACAACACAAGTTGCTAGCCCTATTGAAGTCAATGGCAAAACTCCCGCTGATGTCAAGAGGGCCAGGATTTCATCCTTTGAGTGGAATTGTGAAGAAATGCAGGGTTTTCTTTCCGCTGTCTTTAACACTTTGTACTTAACTTGGGAAGACCATTTCTATTAATTCAGAGAGTTTTATGTGCTCAGTAGTATATGTGATAGACATTTTGCCAATTGTTTGTCTGACCGTTTAAAGGTTGTGCTCATCAACATTCTTATAGACCAGATAGTGAAAGAGTTGGACTCACTCTTCAGTCCATTAAGGTTGATTAACTAAGGCAGAGATAAACTATCTTCCCGCAAGAGCTGCCACCTTTTATTACTCCATTCCTTCATGTTGGGTCTGATGGTGAGTCCAAACACAGATTCCAGCAATGCTCCCTAAACTAAAAATGGCAATACCTTTGAAAATAGAATGACCTTGAAGTGCGACTGTCGAATGGGTTCAAATCTGATTATTTGTACTCTTTTGTATGCTGAGACTATCACCCAAGAAGGTGGGGATTCTTCGTATCTTAAAAGCCAGTGCCACCATGACATATCATTGGGGGTTTTTCCCCTTCAGAAATTATGAAGAAATGAAGTAAGCAGCTTTGCTTTTCAGCTGAAATTTCTAACACTTCTTTAAGTAGGTTGGGCTCCTTTTGAAATGATGTTTTTTTGTTTTGCCGTCAAGGGTCACTTAAGTTCAATAGTTGGCAATAGTTTTTTGACTTCTCAGAATTGATCTCTCTCTCAAAATCAAATGAAGAGGAAAAGAAAGGACCAAAAACACTTTAATGGGAAGTGGAGCTTGTTATCCACAACATAACTATGCTGGAAAAAGTGCTTTGGTAATTAGAAATGCATGGGGAATCTTTTGACAGTGGAGGATTTGAAATTACATTTTGACTGAAAACAAATTTTACACAGTCGCCGGCCGAGAAAAGATTATTCCACTTAAGACTGCAGTGCACTTTAGCACAAATACATTGACAAATAACTGCTCTTGTAGAAATGTTATCCTTTCATAGAATTGTGACAAAGTGGGGGGTAGACACCTTGTTACTGGCCATCAATTTTACCGTGTGAAGCAAATGAAATTGAGAGGGTAGAGTCGGTGACTGGCACCCAGCAGAAGCAATATTCTACACACAATCCAGGAACGTGGACTTAAAGCAACATGCCTTTCGGTTGGACAGAGGTTACAGGATGCGTAGCCAGTTGACAAAATATACTTTTCCAGTTTGAGCAGAGGGACTCATTCTTTTTATGCTGTGCCGTAAGTTTTAGCACTTTCTGTCCTCCAGGAGTGCAAGAGTTAATTTACCAGACACGTGCTTCTTCTAGGGTCTGCCTAAGTACAGCAAATCCCTCGGGTATCATAACTGAAGCACGACTCACTCATGTTGACTTCTTTCATTTTTGTATTTTTCATATTCTGTACTTTTTTCATTTTTGTATTTTCAATTTAGTCCCAACTAGCTTAATTTGTTTGGGAGACGGTGGATTTTTCTCTTACCTATTTGTTACATTCACATCCAACAAAGACTCTCCACAATAACAGCAGGATGTGGCCTGAAGGAAATTATCTAGTGGCTTTTCCTTAGGGAACAACATTTGCTTCCCTGTAAGGAGAAAATGATGGTAGTATCCAGAAGAGCTGCGAGGAACCAAAACGTGGAGAAACATGAGATCATTAAATGGGCTCTGAAAGGAAGTTCTTTGGGAGCTGAACTGGTGTCAGCTGGAAGGAACTGTTGGTACTTAATAAATAATATATAGAGAACATATAATTGCATCTGTTTGGTTTTCTACCTGAATAATCCAAAAGACCTCTGCACTTGTCTATTATATACCCAGAACAGTTGCTCTCCCTGTATCATTTTTTTTCTGCCTAACTTGATCATGACACATTATCTTTTGGCATTGAATCTGAATTCTATCAACAGTTCAAGTTCATGCCTTTCAATTTCTGTCGGAGCGTTGAGTCAAAGCAGTAGGATTCTTCAAGTAGTGTCTTTCCTGTTTCTCACACTTTTCTTCCAGCGCATGTTCGAAATCCATAGTCAGACAGAAAGTGGGTTTAGAAAAGGAAACAAATGGTTATCACAGATTAGACTGTGTTTTGGGAAGATGATTTAAGAGGTACATGACCTAGTTTAATACCATTGCCATTGTTCGTACTGTAGTACAGAATGTTATCCAAAGGACCTCTCGGAGGCAAAAGAGAGGTGCTGCTCGCAAACAAGGAAGGCAAAATCAACCCACAGTGCATTATAAAAAATAGTTGAAGCTTTAAATGGACACAACCGGGAACATATTTCCAGCTGATGGAAATTAGAGCGGAGCATAACCATCCAAGGGATGGTTTGGGTGGGATTTTCAGAGGCGTTTGACGAATGCTGCTCTAACTGAATTCAGTGGAAGCTTTGACTGTCGAGACCAGGGAGGGAACAAATATAGACCGAAGGAAAAGCATTTTTTAACAACCTTTCATGTCTTAATGTGGTAGTGTGAGGGGTGAGTGTGGAAGTCACTACACAGCAACAAGGGCCGGGTTCAATTTTGGGGTACTAAATATATTTTACCTTGGCTCAAGCCACCACCCAGATCACCTGGGAGGCGCTAAATAAATTACTAGGGTGTCCCGCATAGACACCCCCCCACCCTCCCTCGCAAGCAATATAAACACAACGCTCACATTTATTACAAAAAAGGAAAAAAAAGAAAAGAAAACAAGAAATACCATTTTAAAACACTATTAACTACAGAGCAAAGTCTATAGGTCGCACCCTCCTAGGGAGGCTTCACCCATACCCAGCAGTCTGGGACTTGGGGCTCCCTAAATGGGTAGTTATGGGGGCCTGCACCCCTATACCTACCCTGAAGGGCTGGAGAGGGGGTCCCCACTGGAGAGTCCTATGAGCTTCTCCTTGGGTTCACTGTGCCGTGGGGGGCTGCTTGAGAGCGTGGGTCTTTCTGTGTTGCAAGGGGCTCCGTTGCTCCCGGAGAAGTGGAGAGCACCGACCTCCACATCCGCATGGTGGTTTTGAGGGGTTAACTGCAGCTTTCATCAGCATCCTGCACCCCAAAACTCCTAGTCCTGGCTCTGCTGGGCAGAAAACTGCAAAAGAGCGCAGAGGAAAGGTCAGGCCTTTCTTGGTTTGGACCTGAACTACAACTAGCACCCAACCACACCTCTTGGTTGAGACATAAACTACAAAAAGGACAAAAGGAGGCCCAGACCTATCTCACTGAGCCTGAACTGGACAGCAAAAGGTGGCCAGGCCTCTATCACACTGAGGCCTGGATCAACAAGAAGTGCCAGGTCTCAGCCTAGCTCAAACTGTGCCAGGCTTCAATCTGGGCCAAATCTGCCAGCTAACCAAAACATACGGCTGGGGTTGAGCTGCACATCTAGGCTGAAATGCAACAGCTGTGAAGCAGCAAAAAGGGCCCAGGTCTATCTATGGCTACAGCCTGGACATCTAGTCTCAGCTATAACACAATGCTGAGATACTACAGGTCCCAAATGCAGGGGCCAGGAACTGCCAGGACCCATTCCAGGGCAGTTTGCCCCAGGGATTAATACCCTTGTGGC